TTAATTTGTTCTTTTTTTTAATTTTTAGAACCAAGACACATACTTGAGGGGACAAAACACTCCATTTTCCCATGCTCCATTTCAAAGTGCAAATTTTAAAATGTAACTAAATATTTACAAGGGTTTTTTTTCATTATCTTTCAAGAAAATAAAACTCAGGAAATAAAAATATCACAAAGACAATATCAACAGAATCTGCAAGTTGTTTAAAGCAAGCATCCTTAATTAGAATATTTAACTTTCGGTTTACCTAACATAAACATTGTTAATACTAAACCCATAATATCTTTCCATAACCAAACATAAAACAAATGGCTGAGGCAAAGTCATTCTTTGAATAACAGTTGCTATTACTGCTTTAATACCTGTTCAGGAGTTCTGATTTTTACAGAATATTTCCAAACAAAACAACTATCTGGACAAAAAAATATGTTATTTTGATATTGCTTTAATTCTGTAGTATTTTTTCTAATTCCAGTTTTGTTCAGTTGCAGTTCTTTGCTTGACTTTCCCCTTTTAAGATTTGTTTGTTAGAGAAGAACTCTAAAGTACTCTGGACTCCATCCTATTTGGTTAATGTGATTAATGAGGCTTATCCTGGGGGATCTTAGTGTTTTTCTAAATTGAAAAATTAGCTACTCTATAATAAATGCAGCTGAATCACACTCTCTTTGGATGCCTGCACTAGGTAACATAAAAAGTTTGCTAACACAAAAAGGCTGCGAAAACACTGAAGCTTTGCTACCTAGCTGTATAGATTTAGCCAATGTAAATCTCTTATCACATTTTAGGGCCCACTAGCACTTGAGAGTCTATCCAGTTGTGAGGGATCTTTCTGACTTGGATCTTACAGAAACCAGGAATGGTTGCTGGCGGGCAGAGAGGTTGCTGAAGACCATGGTTACACACTACAGCCCTGTTGTTTAATGATGATTATTACTGACACTTCTAACTTTTTTCTTTTTGTTTTTTTAAATTAATTAATTAATCTGTGTTGGGGCAGAGAGGTTGCTGAAGACCATGGTTACACACTACAGCCCTGTTGTTTAATGATGATTATTACTGACACTTCTAACTTTTTTCTTTTTGTTTTTTTAAATTAATTAATTAATTTTTGCTGTGTTGGGTCTTCATTTCTGTGCGAGGGCTTTCTCTAGTTGCAGCAAGCAGAGGCCACTCTTCATTGTGGTGTGCGGGCCTCTCACTATTGCGGCCTCTCTTGTTGCGGAGTACAGGCTCCAGACGTGCAGGCTCAGTAGTTGTGGCTCACGGGCCTAGTTGCTCTGTGGCATGTGGGATCCTCCCAGACCAGGGCTCGAACCCGTGTCCCCTGCATTAGCAGGCAGATTCTAAACCGCTGCACCACCAGGGAAGCCTCAGACACTTTTTACTTTCGTGGAATGTTGAAAAGGAAAAAAAAAATCTATGATCACAGCATTAAAAAACTTGTATTTGTGCTGCATTATTTAAATTACTGAAATACAACTAAACTAATGGCATAAGCTAAAGACATAATTCCCTATTATCTGCTATAAAATCACTAAAAGAACCCTTTAAATTGTAAAATACAAATACAAAAGAAATAATCTTGTGGAAAGGGCCCTTATGGAAAAAGGTGTTAAAAGGGCTTTAATTTCAATATAATGATCTAAAACTGCTTCAAACATAAATATTTTAAAAAAATCTCTACTCAAGGATAAACACTGAAAATATGTAAACCTAGTTCCCTATTAAAATATATTTTGCAAGTAAAAATGAGAAAATATTGGGCTTCCCTGGTGGCGCAGTGGTTGAGAGTCAGCCTGCCGAAGCAGGGGACACGGGTTCGTGCCCCGGTCCGGGAAGATCCCACATGCCGCGGAGCAGCTGGGCCCGTGAGCCATGGCCGCTGGGTCTGCGCGTCCAGAGCCCGTGCTCTGCAACGGGAGGGGCCACAACAGGGAGAGGCCCGCGTACAGCAAAAAAAAAAAAAAAAAAAAGAAAATATTGAAGTTAAAGGAATTTGTCACATTAAACACAGAATGGTAAATTACATAAAGTGTTAGGAATTATAAAATTATTGGTTTAATGATCAGTGTAAGTAAAAAAAGAAATCCTACTTTAAGTCAAATGGCACTACTCTATTATAAACAATGCATCAAAAAATATGAGACAAAAATCTTGTTTTGAAGATTTTACTACTATTGCTTACCCTTAATCATATTAAACGTTACATTTACTCTCCTTATTCCATTAGAATAATCCCAAATAAAATCTTATATAGCTGTGATAGCAACTTTTCGAAAAAAATAAATTTCACAATATTGTTAATGTTTCTGAAGGCTAGGTAGGTACTGAAAAATATCCTAGTACAGAGTCGCTAAAATAACTGCATGGAAATTATTTTGGTATTTTAGATGCCAGAAACTGATTTCCTATTGCATTATATGATACACTTTTGCATCTAAACATTTTATCAAGGGCTATAAGGTTCATAATTTACCATATTTACGTTTATTTTTAAATGTTAAAATAAAAAAATATGTAAGTAAAAAGTACTTGGAAAAACTTGTTAAACCTCTTTTATTTCAGTAGACAAAAGAACTATCTTCAATGTCCTGGCTGAAAGGGTTCTTGATACCATGAAACTGGAAGAAAAAAAAAAGCACAAAGATTTGAGATGAATTAATGAAGCAGACGGATGGTACGTAATAGGATAGTGGAAAGAACCCAGTTAAGTTAGAGCCAAAGTGATCAGAGTTCAAACTGCACATCTGCTCTTTACTAGCCATGGGATCCCAAGAAACTTAACAGTATTGCAGTATTTAAGGCTCTCCAAAGAGTAGTTTCCTCATCTGTAAAAGAGCAATAACATCCCTGCATCTCTCTCACGTATCTTGTGAGAATTAAACAGAATAAAGGATGTAATGTGGCCCGCACACAGGGCTCTCTCAGCCCTTCCTTTATTTCCATTATGGTGCTGAATACAAGTATCATGAGCACAACAGTTGGAAGTGGGTCATAGGGATTTTCACATCTTCAGAAGGATGTAGTTCATTGTAATACAACCAAAGAAATAACAATTAAAATTTTTGAGAATCAAAGCTGGATTTGATTCCAGATAGCTTTCTTAGCATCACAAACAGCTTAATTATTAAGAACACAAGAAAGCTCAAACCATGAGAACTTTATGAAACAATTTCATTCAATATTTCCTATTTCAAAAATTAAAATGTCTTTCATTTGTAGGTTTGCCGCATCTACTATGCTTGGTGCGTTTATCATTACAGCAGCTACAGCAATATGTTAATCAAAAAGGAAAAAGCAGTCATATACCTTGCCCCTGCTTTCTCACCTCCTTTATAGTTTTTTTTGTGTGTGTGTGAATTTTATTTTATTTTCCTTTATAGTTTTTCTTCAGGCTATGATTTAGCTGAAAAATTTCCAGTCCTGTTTAAACTCATTTAGTGGGGCAGGGAGGAAAGGAAAGGATACATAGATAATTACACCACCATAAAATACTCATATGTGAGAAATGCACACAAAAATACTGTGGAAGTAGAAGAGGCATTCTCACATGAGAGAACAGTAAGAAGTTCAATGTGGCTTGAATACAGAGTGGAAGTGGTGGGAAATGCGGCTGTCTATGCAGGGCTGTCAAGGGCCCTGTGTTCCAAGCTAAAGTATTTGAATTTTATCCCATAGGTTATAGGGCACCAGTGGCAACTCCAATGTAGAGATGCTGCTGTCAAAAGGTTTCTTAATTAGAAACAGAACTATACTAACAGCCTGCTTCTTGTCCAATTCGGACTAAGGAATTAATTAATTCAATTAATTTTTTCTACTTATGAGTTTGTAAGATAACCCAGGACTGAGAAAGGACTTTTTAAAAAATACAATTCAGCACATTTATTGAACTCTCTAAATATTTTAATGAATACAAAACCTTGTTGGTTTTAATAGGTTTTCTTCCTTCTTTTATATTGCAGTTAATACCAAGTTGAGGCAAAAAGCCAAATCAAAGCTTTAAAAATATTTTTTGACTGAATTTGCACGTGGTATTTTTCACCTTATATATATACAGACACACACAACCTAGAAAACTGATTTTCCTTGAGAAACAACTTTTCAATTTAAAGAAATTCCTTGCATTTCTCTGTTTAAGACATTAAGAGATGATTAACTTTATACACAGTACATTTTACCTCTGCTGGTAGAATATTTGGGTGCTAATGTAGTTTTTGCAGAATTATTAATAATTGTTTTAAAATTTTGCTTTAACTATGGTAAATATACATGTCAATTTAATTAAAAATTATATTCTAATCATGATATTCTATAAACAGAATTGTGTTTCAGAGAAAATATTTCAAGTCCCCGTGGCAAACTACCAAGTTGCTCTACTAACACATTTCAATTAACTCCATTCACTTATGCCATGATACTATATTAGAATACTGTTATTAGATACTATATTATCTGATTGAAGTTCCTTTTTCCACCTATTTACTCTATTTTTTTCCTTCATTTATCAAAAAATGTATGTTCACAATAGGAAATCTAGAAAATAATGAACACTCTCCACAAACTCCAAATTTTATCACTCACAGGGAGACAAGTTAAAATGTTAGTGTACTTTATTTCTGTATCTCTATGCATTTCTTCATTTATGTAAGTAAATTTATACAATATAGTTTTTAAAATTGTCCTTAAAAACTTTTATAAACCCTTCAATGGTTGCATCATATTTCAATAACTATAATTTACTTAACTATTATTCCTTGAAGTTGGGTTTTATTGAAGGACGTATTTAGTGATATTACCAATTCTTTTTTTCTCAGTCTTTGACTAGTTTTCCACTGACAATGTAATTCAACTCTGCCTGATTTTAAACAATTCTACAAGTCTACACAGAAAAATGTGCCATCTATCACCACCTGTTGTAAATTCCACTTACATAAATGTACAAAGATAAAAGTGAAAACTCTACGAAGCAAGTACTAAACTTGTGGAACTCACCGTTAAGTCCAAGGAACTTCTGGAAGCACACCCAAATCAGGAGAGCAAGGGTATGCAGTGACCGGTTGATGGGAAACATACTGTGAAAAAACTGGCTGCTGAAAATTGTAAACAGGCATTTGAGATCGAAAATGTCCACTCACTGGCACAAAGTCATTTGCTTGTCGTTCCCCAGCAAAGTAACCAAAATATTGAGAGTACAAAAGATTAGAATGTGTATTTTGAACAGTACTTGTAACTGCAGTCAACATCCCAAAAGGAGGTGGCTGTACTTCATAGGATGTTATTCCCTGGTATGTCGGGGTAATGGAACTGCCATTGCTGCTGCTGTAACGATAAACACACCAAGCAGAGTAAGGATATGAAGTTCCAAATGACTGCTCAGAAGAATTATATACTGGGGTACATGCAGACTGTGGAATTTCATTCCAATATGTGGCAGCATTCTGAGTTAAAACTTTTGAATTCTATTGTTCAGAAAAAGAGTATTCTACTGTTTGATTCACATTAAGGGTCATGTTCTCAGATGCTTCAACAGGTGTAGTACTGGAATTCAATGTATCCCTCCTATGTTTTTCTTTTGACTCAGTTTTTGCAGGTTGTGTTTTATTTGCAGAACAGGAATTTTGTTCTGGATATGTATGGGTTCTGGAGAACTGGTGCATTTAGAATTTTTAATGGATGAATTTAATATTTTATTATCTTGAGGTTCAAAGTCAGTGTCATTCATTTCTAAATTGGCATTGATATCCCTCACAAAATAGAAAATAGGCTTTGAGAGCACTGATGCATTAGGCAGAAGAGAAGCATCAGTTTCTGGTTTTATGTCTGAGAGACAAGATTTCTCTGCAGGATCTGAGGAATTCTTAAGAAATTTCTGAGAAGTTATCTCCTGGTCTTTTGAAAATGTGCCATCTACACGTTTTGGGTCAGAAATTGCCAAAGGAGAACAATCTTATCACTTTTTGTTTCAGCAACACTAAAATTTACATTTCTTTCCTTCATGTTATTTAAGCTTCCCTGTTGTCCACTGAAATCTTCTGAAGTAGCAGATGAAATATTAGTTAAATCTATTTTTCCCTCTAACTTTGACATACAAGTGTCTTTTAGGTTCTTTAAAGGTAAAAGTGAGCCAGGTAATGATAGCTGAAATTCAACTTTTTTTGGAGAGACATGGTTTCTTTTCAGATTGTTAGATGAACTTCATCCTATTTCATTTTCACTTTCGGGATGAGATCTCATAGTCCTATTAAGTGTAACACACATACAAACAACTTTAAATATACAAAGTCACAAAATTTCAATATAAATATATATTTGAAAATTTTATTTAGGAAAAGAATTCTTAAGATTCACATTTTCCTCTTTGTATTCGCATTATACAAGAAACATATTTCTCCAGTTTTCCTCCCTTGGTTTGAATTTAGATACTTTTCTTGCTGAAGGTGATATATTCCACATTTCAAATATATTTCCAATACATCTGAAAATACCGAGTGCTGCCAATATTGTAATAAATTATTTTATGCTTTGGACACTTCCTGATTTCAATTTTTTTGCAGTAGTTTCTAATTCATATACCTCCAACCTATTGACAATCTTCTTTACTTGCAAATGGCCATATATAGCTGGTGAAACCACTACCTGTGACCCCTACCCCCAAAAGACTATCTTGTCACAAAGTATTGAGATATTTTGTCTGTTCAAGGTTGAGAGTAGGAAAAGCAGACTTCAAAAATTTCTTGCCAAGTGAATATCCTTGGCATTCCTATCTAAATTTAGACAGTCTCAATCAGGGTGAAGGAAGCATTCATTATTGAAGGTCTAGAGCCAGACAGTTAATGCAGGTCTCCAGGGCAATTATATTTTTTTGGTGTCTCATCAAATTCTTCAAATTACAAGTGGAAAAGAACATGTTGAAAGAAAAAAGTAACCATTCCTCCACAGTCAAGAGAATTTAACCTTTGGCCTAGAATGTGTGTATCCCACTCACGAAACTAAAAGCCCCTATTTTACTTAATCCAGCCTCCTTAAAAGGCACTTGAATGACAACCTACATCATCATCCAACCCAACAGAATACTTTGACAGTTTCTAGAAAGGACAATTTTGACTTTATCACATTTCCAATGATGTTTCAGTGATGTCTCAACCTTATAGATTGACAGCTGCCTGTATGATCTATCCTTTTACCCATTCTCTTAGAGGATGTTCTTCCATGACCATGGCACCTTATATTAGAATTCATTTTCCTGCTAATTGAGACACAGTTTGATTCTTTGAGCAGCAAATACTACCTGTACTTACAAAACTTAGTTTTGTAAACTAAGTAAAACAAATCATCTTAGTTACAAAACTAAGTTAGTTAGTTCATCCTATTCATCCTTATGCCACTACACAATTACTTAGAGAGTCATCTGTGCCAGGAAAAAGATTCTAGAAATGTAGTAAATTAAAGATCATATTTAATTTTTTAATTAATTAATTCATTAATTAATTTTTGGCTGTGTTGGGTCTTCGTTGCTGTGCATGGGCTTTCTCTAGTTGTGGTGAATGGGGGCTACTCTTCGTTGTGGTGCACAGGCTTCTCACTGTGGTGGCTTCTCTTGTTGCAGAGCATGGGCTCTAGGTACACGGGATTCAGTAGTTGTGGCTCGCAGGCTCTAGAGCGCAGGCTCAGTAGTTGTGGTGTGCGGACTTAGTTGCTCTGCGGCATGTGGGATCTTCCCGGACCAGGGCTGGAACCTGTGTCCCCTGCATGGGCAGGTGGATTCTTAACCACTGTGCTGCCACCAGGGAAGCCCTAAAGATTATATTTAGAGAAGCAAAACCAAATAAGACAGAAATGAGAATGCTTATCTTCTTTTAGTTCATATTATTCATTTTCCTTCATAGGATGGAAAAAAAGATGGTAAAAGATGAAGCTTGTCATAAATTGAAAATCTTACAGAGTTGAATGAAACAAGAGATGGTCAACAAGTCCAGTGGTGCCACTTCACGTCAAAATGAGAAAAACATAAATAATATAGTGGGTTTTTAATAAAAATAACTAATTCAAAAAGAATTTAAAGAACTAGCCTTTATTCTGAAATCATGTTCTTTCTATATTGTGGTGTTAATACATCCTTTCATGAAACAGTAGTATACTTATAATATGTGAGTGTGTTTGACTAAGCTGCCACTTAGGAATAAAACTTGTCAATTTTTATCTTGTTAGCCAGTCTTGAAATTCGACAGGTCTATAAAATCCACAAGTTAAAAAAAAAAATCTAATCATTTGCCCCATTCTATGCCCTTTTTAGTAATAAGCCAGTCACTAAGCCCCATCAATTCATTAAATAATGTCTGTCAAATACGACTTTTACCTTCTTATTCTGTAAAGCGTCACTCTTTTCTAAGCCCTGGCTGACTTACTACTTTTAACTGTACTTAGCATCTCCTCACCCTTTAAATCACTGTGAAAACGCATTTCACAGGATATTACCTTTCAATCCTTACAGAATGAAATTCAAACTCCTTAGGCCTTACCTAAGACACTGCATAATCTGAACCACCTTCTCCCTCCTTAGCTAACTCTTCTCCCCTAAGTTACATGTATAACCCAACAGAGGTAATAAATAAAGGTTTTAGTCTTGTTCCTTAATATGTGCTCGATTTTGTTTAGTTTTTCTTCAGACAGGGCTGATGGCAACTCCTACCTTGGATGCTTGAATGTTGCCTTTTCTCTGTTGATTTTTGTGACATCTTTCATGTTAACCTATGTTTAAAAAATACAGAGAAAACCTACATTGTTGATTTAAAGTACAATATTTATTTTTTTAATTATCAGACATTTGCAATTGCTTGTTCTGTCATCATCTAAAATGCACTGTCTGAAACTATATTCATTAATGATCCTCTCCTTCAAAACTCAGTGGCTCTGCTGGACTTCCCATATTTCATGTTTGGAGAAACTTTTTAAAAAAGCAATCTGCAACGTTGTTTTTACCCACATCTTACAACACGTCTATTTATGACTGCTTCCTATTTTATGCCCTTTTTAATCAACCAGTCACTCAGTGCCACTGTTAAGTAATGTCTGTCAAGTATGGATTTTCCTTTCCTATTCTGTAAAAGAGCACCTTTTTCTAAGACCCAGACGACTTACTACTTCTAACTATGCTCAAAATCTCTACTCTTTAAAATCACTGAAAAAACAGTTTACAGGACACTACCCTTCAATACGTACAGAACGAAGTTCAAACTCTTCAGGCCTATATTTAGAACATTCTGTTATCTGAAACGGTATGCTTCTCCATCTTTAGCTTACTTCTGTCCACTAAGTTAAAATGTTTGTTCCAGACTTAATTTTAAACTCATTTCTCAAATAATGTCAATAAGCATTGTGTCTTTGGTCACATTATTTTCCATAGCTTGGATACCCTCTTCATTCTTTTACCTTCATCTGATAACATTTTTTCCTTTAAGGCAAAGCTTTGATCTGTGTCCTTCTATGAAATCAGTGAATAAATCTCTATTTTTTAAAAATTTTGCTTTTCTTCTCTATACTTACAACACCTTTTTAGTAATACCCTCATTTTACTCTTGATGTGGAGTACACAACTTGTGTTGTTCTTGTGTTTTGGAAGTATGTTTATAAACTGGTTGTTAATTAAGCATTTTCCCACAAACACAGTGCAATAAACGATTTGTTTCCTAGTCTCTAGAACTAGAGTTTAACTAACGAATACAATTAGAGTAAGCTGAGAAAGAATCCTACTTTTCATTTTGCGTATAGGTCTCTCTTTCTTCACTTCTGAAATGAGAAATTCTCAAAAAATTATGAGTCGTCTCTGAGGGTGGAGTAGGGGCAATTATTAATATGGGCTCTGGAGCTAGACTGCCTTGTTTTATATGTAGGCGCTTCCGTTTACTAACTTTGTGATCTTGGGAAAGTTATTTAACTTTTCTATGCCTCAGTTTCTGTACTTTAATAAGATAATAACAGTGCCTACATCATAAGCATTCTGTGAAGAACAGAAAAAGTTAATGTTTGTACATTCATTAGAATGCTGCCAAGTATTTAATAAATGCTATATAAAATTTGTTAAATAAAATGTACTTATGCAGGACTAACTCCTTCATAATCGTCTATTTTAAAATATCTGTACTATTTCTCTGTGTGGATGATAATGGTCAAGAACACAGACTCCACTGTCAATTTTTAATATCCACAACATTAAGTATAGCCTCATTATATAGAAGCTACTCAATAAATACTTGGTCACTTGCTTAACTCACATTCATAATATGTACTTTTCCTTAAGCCGTTATTAAAATTCACACCCTTCCAAGAAGTGTTTTCTAAATAAAATAATTAATTTGTAAGTTTAAAATTAGACATTTGCAAGGCTATCTCTCACATATACAAATCACTCATATCATTTTATAGATAATATGGATTGTTTAATCCAATAGTTCAGTTAGTAAATTCATTTTGCAAGGCAGTATTTAAAGCATCCTCAATTTTTACAATTCTGCAAACTACGTACTTGTTTACTTAAAGAGTAGCCTTGTTCTCAAAAAGAATACCTACATAGGTTTCGCTTAAAACGTTACCTTTTGTTTTTTACAACTGGAAACGGTAGTATTTTCCTCTTGTTCCTGAGGGTCTTCACATTTGTCTACAGTGAAAGGTCGTTTTATAGAGGAATATGAAACGTTTTTCATTATGCACTGTGAAATTGAGGGCACCTTCACACAAGTACTGGACTTGTTGATATTCTTCCTAGGTTTTACATGAATATTCATTTCTTCCTTTCTCTCCAGGTGCAAAGTCTTCTTTCTGTTATATCGCATTTGGCACAGGATAAAGGAAATGGTTAATTTAGCATTTTTAGCACATATTATCTTCATATGTTCAATAGTTTTCATGACTTTCATAATATGGGCCATTTTCCCTAAGTCCTTCCGAGGGGCAGCCATCACATTTTTGAGCAGGGTGGAAAACTGATTGTAGTTGTATTCTAACTCTGTCACAGTCCTTCCGTAATTTATGGATGCTATACATGGCACAAAGTCAATGTATGTGGAAACAGAATACTTAGACTTCTTTAGAAGTGTTTTTATTTCTGAAAGTTCTTCAAGTTCTCTTGAGAGCAAATGAAGAGCATAGGAGCAATTAACAGCTTCATTATATTTGTAGATAATATCCAGATCATTCTTAAGTTCAGAAATAGCAGTCTCTATCACTTTCCAAAGACAATCTGTTGAATTATCTTTAAGAAATGAGAAAGAAGTCATTTTTTCTTGGCACTGAACCAGTTCAGGAAGAAGTGACAAATCAAACCAAAGCATACCTCGAAACCTCTGTTTGTCTAGTTTCTTTGCCATTGAGTTTTTAAGAAAGTGAACTGTTTCTGAGAGCATGACGATTTCAATATAGGTTTCAATGGCCACAGGTTTTAAAATTACTGCCTCATGGTTGTCGTTTTTCACCATCTCCAAAACATTTTCTTGTGTGATAAAAATATTATCTATGTTATCTTCTTGCAGCAACTGAAAGTATTTTTTTAAAATTTCTAAGTGATCGGTACATCTCAAAGTGAGTTCCTGTAGTTTTTTAAAGTCTGCAAATTCAGCTTGATCCAATATTTCACTAATACAACAGATATCTGGATGTGAAAGCAAAGTACTGTTAAACCTAGAGTTTTCTGTGCTAATTGTTGTTTTGTTTACTAGAGCATTTGACTTTCTGGAAGCAATCATAGTATTCTCAAGCCCAGTACTGGAAATGCGTTCACTGCTTAAATCTTTAGACAACGTATCACATATCTTCTGCAACTTAGAAAAAGCATGTTGATTCATTTTGAGTAGTATTTCTTTGCTGTTCTTTCCTGAGTATTTTTTGCAGAACGACTCTCTCTTTTCTTTCCAAACAAGACTTTTTGCAGCATCAAAAAAGATATGTTCCAGGCCATAAAGAGATATTTTAATACTTACTGCCTCATTGCTCTTGATAAAATTAACTTTTGAGGAGATCATTTCTATAATAATCCATAGATGGTCTTGTTTTCCTGGACAGGAATCATTTTGGGGAGAGTCCCCGTATATACTGATCAGATTTAATGTACTTTTTCTCAAGGATTCTAGGTCTCCTAAACTGTCTCCAAAGTTAACTCCACAGGTAAATGGAACAGAAAGAGAAAAGTCAAAGCAATCAGAACAATGTTTCATTACTGCCTCACACTCATTAATCTGTCGTTTGTATTTTAAGAACATGTAGTATGAACTGATTTCCCTTTTGGTTTCTTCAAACACTTCAACCAACTGATCATGATAGTTTTGCAACTCACAGAACGCATGATATTTTAACCTGCCTTGAAAAGCAGGATAGAAATTGGATTGTTGTTGAAACCCACGTGGTCTGCCAAGCAGCTCACTGTACAATGTCTCATCATACCAAAGCAAGCTTCGGAATGTTGGCTCACCTCCTAAGAGCCTTGTTTTGTTTTCAATGAACTGAATAGTTTCCATCATCATTTGGAGTTCTACCAAGGAGTCAAGAGCACACGGTTTTAGTTTGTGTCTGCAGTTATACCACAGGTTTTGTTCTACCAACAGGTCTCTTGAAATCAAGATTTGTTTAAATGAACATTCTTGTTTTCTTTCAAAAGCTTCAACAAATAAAGGAAGAATATTTTGACAAACTTCAGTTTCTTCCTGTAGAATCTGCAAAGATGATGCTTCATCTGCCCTCTTCAAAATTTGAGCTATCTTAGCTATAGGAGCCAAATTATTAGTTAAGCAATGTTCTTCTTTTAATTCATTCATGTATGATGCAGGCATCTTCGGAGGAGGAGAGACGTTGGAGGTTTCAGAGTGGGCATGTAGAAGAGGCATATGATTCATTCCTTTAATGCCTGGTTTGCAATTACAGGCTCTTCCTGAGCGCATTGTGGAGTCAGACTGAGAGTCATGACTAACTTTTCCCTCCTCTTTCTTTCTTTTGCTAAGCTGATTAGAAGCAGTGTTACTCAAAGAGACTGCCTCAGTAGCATCTTTAATGCTTAAATGAGAATCAATCAAGTGGTCTTTAACTGTTTTCTCACTTAAGTAGGAGGATTCTTCTAATGTCTTATTCTTTTGATTTTTGTACTCAGTCTTAACACTTGATCCTTCAGCCATGGTTTTGTGAAATGAATCTTTTGCTTTCTCTGCTTGTTTATCTTTCCACATTTTTCTGTCCTGAATGTCTTTCTTTGCAATACATTTTGGGGAAGAAGAACCCTTTATGTTACCTTTTAAGAGCAGAAAACTATCATGGGAAAATAGTTTCTTCATCATATTGTCCTTACTTTCTTCACCTACTGATATGAAATCCAACTCAGAATTCTCAATAACATTTGTTCCATTCCCGTCTATGTGGAAGCAATTACTTGAAGAGCAATGTTCTGTCTTTAGCAGCTCCTTTCCAGCACATCCTTGCTGACAGTGTGGTACAATAGTAGACACTGCTGAAGAATCTACAGCAAAAATGCTCTGTTTATTCAGGTAAGGTTGTGAAGATTCTCCCTCACTGTCTGTCACTAGAGTGGCTGATAACAATTGAGGAATACTGTTACACTTTTTGCTTTTTATCAGAGTTAGATTTAATGGGTCCATAAGGAAGTTTCCTGTAATGCCTGGTTTGGAGCTCTCATTAGGAGCTGTCCATTTTTCTATAGGAAAATTTACTTCCAGGTTTCTTGTATAACCAGATAAAATAAGGTTATTTGGTTTGTTGATATCAATATTAAAAACATGCATCACACTTGATTCTAAGACTGAAATAACTGTATCAGTTTTCACCTTTGTGTGGGCTATACAAGTTGCATCATAATTTTTGTCCACACTAAAATTTACGTTGCTTTCTTTTATGCGAATTAAAGATACTGAATTCCTTTTACTTATTACTTCATTAGCTTCAGAATTGTTTTCTTTTGTTGTACCCTTAATATTACCATGTGCTGAATGGTTCTTAAGCTTTTCATATTTACTAACGTTAGATAAAAACTCTGCATCAATTTGATTTTCTCTTTTAGTTAGTTTCTCATCTGGGCAGTCTGGGGAAGAGAGACACCCAGTTTTTCTAGAAAAGGGCTGAAGTTCTGATGATCTGGGATTTCTCAAACTGCTAGTGCTATAAGCTGACTGACTTGTACTTTGGGACCTGGAGCAGAGGGCTAACTGTGATTCAGGATACTCTTGATCACAATATCCTCTCACGCGAATAGTGGTGGGACTTCTGGAGACACCGGACACATTTTTCTCAGAAAGGGACTTTGTGACTCTCTCTCCACTTGTTTTATAAGACTTGTGGTTTGATACATGAGTTAATGATTTATCAACTTCAAATCCCAAAGCCCTTTTCGCTCCAGGCTTGTCATATTTTCTTTTTGACAAAAATTGCTTAGTGGAGTAATATCTTCTTTCAGACACAGAACTATAACCTTGAAGGTCACAACTTTCCCAGAAATTACTGCACATTACTGCATATGCTTTTGGTAAAGGGCCCTTTCTTTTTTCTCCCACTTTAGCTATAAGCTGCAAAGACGTGTGAACTCTTCTGTGAGCTTTTTTTAAGTGACGAACAGCTCTGTCAAGTTTTCTGGAAAGACATCTGCTTTTGCATAAAGGTGCTTCACTAGTTAGAATATCCGGGACACTCCTAATGTGTTTTTCTGACCGTGAAAAGGTTTCAATTCGTCCTTGGGATAATGAAGAAAAACGTTCCAACAAGTCCTGACTGGTTAGCCTCCTCCTATTCCCACAAATTTCGTGATGTCTTAAATCTTTATGTGGTATATTCTGGTCCCTAAAAGGTGTATGTGGCTTTCTTTTGCTAATTCTTGATTCTGTGTCCTTTTCACTTCTAGTATCATTACAATCGGTTTTTGACTTTGTAAAGGAACGCCTGCTTTCGTTATTTACTGTTGTGACATTAGAATGTTCAGTAAGCAAAGGTCCCTTGTTTTGCTTTTCAGAAAGTGAGGTTTCAGATTTACTCACTAGTCCTGATTCTTGCCTTACATTACCAAATTCACCTTCCGATGGATGATGTGAATTTTCACCAGAACACTGGGAATGGATTTCAAATCGTGGAACGTCTTCCTCCTCCTCCTTTATTTCTGATTTTATGGCTTCAGTTCTATATTTGCAGAAATTATCTTTCAATGCAAGGGATTCAACAGCAGTACTGAATCCTTGCATAAATACATTAGTAATCCTAACTTCTAGATCAGGAAGAAAAATTGGGTTGAAGAGCTCTGCTTTGTTTTTTGCTGTAGAGAAGTAAAAATTACTTTCCTCAGAGCAATGCTGATCGCTATTCTCCCTCTTTGCGGTGCTTTTCAAAACTTCTGTCTCCCCATTAGTGCTTCCTAACAGACCTTCCCAAACGATGCGAGATCTCAGAGCCTTGTATGAGGGCCCGAAATCTTCATAGAGTACATTTCCATGGCTATGAGCGTCCTGTTGAAATAGAAAAGCACTGTCACTCCGTTCTGATCCTACTTCAATCTCATTATCCAATTTGATGTTTTGAAGAACTGAGTTGTCGCTTACTGACTGATGAAATGACTTGTGTAACTGATTTTTATCCATATCTGTTTCACAATCAGAAACCCTATATTTTACTAACAAACCAAAATCTGGACTCTCAGAAGAACAAGTTTCTTTAAACTGGTATCTTCGGTGATTTTCGAGATTTGTGCCTAATGCAGGCACTGGAGCATCAGCTATCTGAACTACAGCATGTGAGGCTATATGCCCTGAAGAACCTGCAATCTGGGGAAATGTTGTGGAAATCAAATGCTCTACAGTCCTTCCAGTATCTTTTTCTTTTATGGCAGTTACGGTATCTTCATTTTCTAATAATGTAGATTCTGTGGACACATATTTTTTTCCCCAAGTCAAATTAAATGTAGTAGAAAATTCTTCAGAACTCAGAATTTCTATGCTATTGTAATCTTTATTCTCCCTCCTTTCATCTACAGTGGTAAAATTTTTGTTTGCATGAAAACTCTGCTTCTCATCTCCATGTATATTCCCTATGTTGTTTTCTGTAGACAAAGCAATGTCTTCCACTTCATCCTCATTCTGGTTTTCTTTACCATTATCTCTCTGTTCTCTGCAATCAATATTCAGGTGCACATCACTGTTCAACTGTGAATTACAGAACTGAGTGTGATCTTGATCTTTATTGTTAACTTGAGAATTTTCTTTGCAGTCTCTTTCACTGTTCACTAAGGACACTGGATCATTTCCATTTCTCCTTTTAACACATATATGTTCTCTAGCTATGCTGCAATTTGCATTATGAGCTGTTTTAACGTCATGAGATGAAGTAAGAGCCGGCAGTTGTTTGGCCTGGGGAATGTCTTTTGCTTCCTGCAAAGCATCAGTCATAACACTAACACAGTTTTGATCTGGTTTTTCCAATTTCAGTTCCATTCGTTTTTGAGAAACGGTAAAACTTGTATGAACGTTATCTTTGTACTCTAAAGAGTGCTGAGGATGCTTTTGTGAAAGGTTCTCCAGTCTTGGAGTAAGATGATTTTGTATTTCCAATACTAGGTGATCTAGCTCATACTTCTCCTCTGTGGTAGATGAGAAAGATTTTGGCTTTTCTAACCCTTGAGTAATTAATATTTGATCACAATTTTCCACCAAATCATCAAGATTCTCATTCTTTTTGTCGTCTTGATGCAAAGAAATGTAACTATCTACGGGACTGATTTTTGTTTTATTAGTAAAAGAATTATCACTTTCTTTCCATACATTTTGTTTTTCTTCATGTTTGGAATTGTCTTCTGGCCCAGTGACGTTTCTCGTCTTTCCAGTATCTTGAATGTACTCATGTATGCTTTCTTTGCTTTCGAGCGGAAAAAGTGTAGGCATTTGGTGACCAGTCTGATATATAGTTTTAAAATTAGAAGACTGTGATTCCGGAGAGATGTCACTATCATATACTTTTGTACAAGTATTCACTGATTCATAAGAGTCATGTGGCTCACTATTTTGTTCAATTAAAAGTGGAGTGTTGTTTCTCTGCTGGGATCTCTGAGCTTTTTCTCCACTGTGTTCTTGGATTTCAACTTCTGAGACTACATTTGACACACACATTGGGAAGGAAAAATTATCGTGGCTCTTACACTGTTCTGCCATGGTAATTTTACTGGGAGTTGTACAATCATAGGTCTTAGAGCCCATGTTGTGAGCCTGGGTTTGTGAATCATTCAAAGAAATTTTGAAGCAAGGGGCATCCAAATAATTAGTAAGAACAGTCTGATCACCAGGCATGACTTCAGAGGACGAGGCAGGATTAGTTGGCATAGATGATAGGTTTATTTCTGAATTAGCAAAATCTAAACTCTTGTCAAATGGCAAAATCTCATTTAAACCTGTAATAGTATTATGTTTTCCCATGCTTTCTTCTCTCTTCATCAGTCTTGGGTCTTTGATGAGTTTTGAAGTAGTAACTATGCTCGAGCCAATATTGTTATGAAGGGGAAACGCAGGAACAAAACCACTTAAAACATCTTTAAGATGTGTCAAATTTAAGAGGTCATCATTATTAACACTTTCTCTGGTATCACTGGGAATCAATGAAAGACCTGAATCATGTGCATGTACTTGAGAAGTGTCTCTACATTCTGCTGAATTGTGCTCCATCTGTCCACTGTATGCTTCAAGTACAGAAATGTTTTCATTTTGCACATTTCCATAGGAGTTAGAAATATGTGAGTTGTAAGGATTTATCTCTGAATTTAGTGTACTGCATGAACAGTTTTCCTGAACAAATGGATCTATAGGTTTCCTGAAATGCTCAAAGATGACAGTAGCATCTTTTCCTTTTCCAATTCTTTTGGCCACTGTACAGTTATTCAGAGACCATGTTCTTTCTGTGGAAATAATAAGAAAATAAGGAAAAACAGGAACAAAAAGTGTTTCTTCAGGCAACTCTATTAATGCAAGTAAACTATGTCATAAGTGGTTTTAACTGCAAGTCCATCAAATAACCTAATGATGATTAAGGTATGTTCTCAGCAGAAAAAGCAAGAAGAGAAGAGGAAGAGTAACCGACCAATAAAGTATAGATGACATAGCATGAAATTCTGCCCTACAGACCCATTATAAGTGTTTGCCATAAAAAATTTGAATTTTGACAGATACTAATAGAAAAATTAAATAGGAATAAAACCATGTTGCTCACAGACTAGGTAATTCTTATATTAATTTCCTATACGCAGATATTTAATAATAGAATCTATACATTATTAGGTAAAATTGTCTCCCTCCACCTACTGTTACCTTGCTTCTTTTCCCTCTACCACAGGAGAACAAAAATGGAAAGGAAAGAGGAATAAGGTAAAGAAACAGGGGCGGGGGAAGATCAAAAAGGCTGCACAAAATCCTTCCCAGGAGCCAAAGCAAACCACTACCCCTGCTCCATTATGAAATAAATATTCTGGCAAATAATAAATATAAATAAAAACCTGGAAAATAGAAGCAAATTTTGTTTTTATAATTTATAGAGATTTATTCCTAAAATTTCATAAAGCACTTCATGTAATAACAAATGAACTTATAAAAACACATATTTAGCAGGTAAAATGTTCATAAAGCATTCATAGCTAACTAATACCATGAAAATACCATTGTTAAAACAGATTATTAATGAGAAGTTGCTCATGAACAATATATGAAGTTATAATCATATCACTGGGAATGTACCATGAAGTTCTTTTTCACAGAATGTTAAAAAATAGCTCTGTTGAAGATTTCTAAATTATATAACTATTGTGATTATCCTTTTAATTCGAGTAAGCTATAGTGGAAATATGTTCGAAAATAGAGATGTGGGACTTCCCTGGTGGCGCAGTGGTTGGGAATCTGCCTGCCAATGCAAGGTACACGGGTTCGAGTCCTGGTCCGGGAAGATCCCACATGCCGCAGAGCAACTAAGCCCACGTGCCACAACTACTGAAGCCTGCGTGCCTAGAGCCTGTGCTCCGCAACAAGTGAAGCCACTGCAGTGAGAAGCCTGTGCACCGCAACGAAGAGTAGCCCCTGCTCGCCTTAACTAGAGGAAGCCCGCGTGCAGCAACGAAGACTCAAGGCAGCCAAAAATAAACAAATAAAAAAGAAAAAGAAAAAAGAAAATATAGAGATGTAGTGCTTAAGCTGGAGTGGACAGAAAAAAAGGAAAGGTGGATCCCTATACCTCCTTATACCGAAATAAAACAAAATTCATTAAAAAATAAAGCCATAAAAATACTGGAAGAAAACATGGAGGGATAGTTTTATAATCCTGGGGATAGGAAAGTACTTTTTTTTTTTTTTGTGGTACGCGGGCCTCTCACTGCTGTGGCCTCTCCCGCTGCAGAGCACAGGCTCCGGACGCTCAGGCTCAGTGGCCATGGCTCACGGGCCCAGCCGCTCGGCAGCATGTGGGATCTTCCCAGACCGGGGCATGAACCCGCATCCCCTGCATCGGCAGGCAGACTCTCAACCACTGCGCCACCAGGGAAGCCCTAGGAAAGTACTTTTTAAGCATGGATGGAAGTCAGAAAACCAAAAATGAGAAATGATGTCAATTACATACACATTAAATATTTTAACAGGTCAAACCCATGGTAAAACTTAGAAAAATAAACTGGTGCAAAGAATATTCTGAGACAAACTTAGTACATAATTACACATGTATTGGAATACATAAAGAATATACAGATATCTTCAAAAGATTAATAAAAAGACTATGCAATAGATAGTTGGGCAAAGTACTTAAACAAGAAAATCACAGGTTAAGTAAAAACTGTCAACAAACACAAAAAGACGTCCAACCCCACTAAATACACAAGAAGATTCATATTAAAAAACCTTTTAGATGGCAAAGATTCTGAAGGATAAGTAATTACCCTTTTCAAGATAAAACCACTCAACAAACTAGGAATAGAAGGGAACTTCCTCAACAGGGTAAAGGACATAAAAAACCCCCACAACTAACATCATATTTACTGGGGAAAGATGAACACTTTCCCCCGAGGTTCAGGAACAAGCTATATACCTAAGAGCAAAGAAAACACATGTCTACACCAAAACTTGTTCAAGAATGCTCTTAGTATAATTATTCATAATTGCCAAAAGGTGGAAGTGACCCACATGGTCAACTGATGAATGGATAAACACAACGTAATGTATCCATGTAACAGAATATTTTTCCATAAAAAGGAATGAGGTACTGATACATGCTGCAACATGCAAGAAGCCTGAAAACACTGTTAAGTGAAGTCACCAGTCATGAAAGGTTACTATTTATGACTTCACTTAATGAAATGGCCAGGCCAGGATAGGATAATATATAGAGACAGAAAGCAGATTAGTGACTGTGTAGGGGTAGTGGGGGGCTTAGGGGAAAAGGGTCATGAGAGCTTTCAATGGGTAAAGAGTCTCTTTTTTTGAGGTGATAATGATAACATATCACACTCACTAGGCTGGCAGAAACATTTTTTAAATTTAATTTTTATTTTATACTATAGTTGATTTACAATATTGTGTTAGTTTCCGGTGTACAGCAAAGTGATTCAGTTATACATATAAATATATCCGTTCTTTTTCAGATTCTTTTCCCACATAGGTTATCACAGAATACCGAGTAGAGCTCCCTGTGCTATACAGTAGGTCCTTGTTTATTATCTATTTTATATATAGTAGTCTGTATATGTTAATCCCAAACTCCTAACTTATCCCTCCCCCTTACCTTTCCCCTTTGGTAATCATACATTTGTTTTTGAAGTCTGTTGAGTCTGGCAGAAACATTTTTTTTAAAGTACATGGGGCTTCCCAGGTGGCACAGTGGTTAAGAATCCGCCTGCCAATGCAGGGGACACGGGTTTGAGACCTGGTCTGGGAAGATCCCACATGCCATGGAGCAGCTAAGACCGTGCGCCACAACTACTGAGCCTGTGCTCTAGAGCCCGTGAGCCACAACTACTGAGCCCGTGTGCCACAACTACTGAAGCCTGTGCGCCTAGAGCCCATGCTCTGCAACAAGAGAAGCCACCGCAAATGAGAAGCCCGTGCACCGCAATGAAGAGTAGTCCCCGCTCACCGCAACTAGAGAAAGCCCACCCGCAGCAACAAAGACCCAATGCAACCAAAAATAATAAATAAATAAATAAATTTATTTTTTTTAAAAAAGAAGTATATGTACTGGCAATGATGTAGAGTAATTAGGTAACCTGACACAACCACTTCTGAAAACTGATATTGTCTTTGGATTAAGCTGCACATTCCTGATGTAGCTGTATACGCTATAGAAAAACTCTTGCACATATGCACTGAGATACGTACATGAACGTTTAAAACAGCAATATTTGGAATATGAAGAAAACTACAAAATGTCAAAACATCCCCAGAGGAATAGTGTATAGTCACAAAATTGAATAATATGGTGTGTGTGTGTGTATGTGTGTATACAAATATACGAGTGAAAATGAAGAAACTACAGTTATACATATCAGCGGGGAAGAATCACACAAACGTAACACCGAGCAAAAGAAATAACAAAAATAGCTGCAATGGGCTTCCCTGGTGGCGCAGTGGTTGAGAGTCCGCCTGCTGATGCAGGGGACACGGGTTCATGCCCTGGTCCGGGAAGATCCCACATGCCGCAGAGCGGCTGTGCCCGTGGGCCATGGCCGCTGAGCCTGCGCGTCCGGAGCCTGTGCTCCGCAACGGGAGAGGCCACAACCGTGAGAGGCCCGCATACCGCCAAAAAAAAAAACAACAAAAAAAATAGCTGCAATGTAATTCTAGATATATAAAATCGAAAATAGGTAAAGCACAACTATCTTGCTTAGATATTCATAATGTATTAGAAAATCATATTCAGAAGTTGTAAGACCAGCACAAATGCTACTGAAGTAGAAAAATATATGTATCTTACCAGCCCTCTTAGGAAATCCTGTTGAGAGGAGTCTCAAAGATGTCATAAGGTGTCCTTTATCTACTTTTTGACCAATAAATTTTACTGTTACTATTGCATATGGAAGACACTGCCTAGGTTTATCTACTGGCTTTGAAAGATTATTATATTCATAGAAGTATACCTAAAAGATAAAGAAGGAAGAGAACATTTTTATGCTGATTAATTTTTGCAGACTTGAATAAGCTCCTATTTTTAAAAATCTAGATAACTGCATGTTGTTATTTATTAATCAGCTTCCACACAGCCCCACTCTCCCTGGCTTCTTCAACCCTAGTTTTCCTGAAGAGGAATTTTTTTCCCCACAGTGTATTTTTTCCTTGATAGGCTTCCAATATCAGCAGAAACAGATACAATCTGTTTTTAAATAAAAAAGTATTTTTTCATTAAAACTTCAATGTTTTGCATATGCTGGGAACCACTATATTTTATTTGGGAGGAAAAGTCAATTAGAAAAATAACAATAGCTTAATACATCTTACATGTGGGAGCATATATATATTTCTAAAATATTTATCCTCATTCAATCATATATATGATTATATATAGTATGTATTACATAATTTAGTCTTCTATAAAAGATTAAAGTTCTACTAAGTGTCTCAGTAACACATGACAGAAAATTACTGTGTAGTAATTAGTCTACCATGTAATGACTAATACATAAGCCTTTTCTCCTTTTGCGAAGATCAATAACATTTCAAAGTAGCCTTGTTTGTTTTGCAAGTTAGGAATTAATCTATGAAACATCTAAATAAAAGCAGCCACTGTACTTAGAACGAAGTTAAATGTAAATCTGGAAGCCTCTTTATTAATGTTCTGAGATCACAAATATTAAAACAGCTTTTACTGTCTATTTATTTAGGTCATATTATGGTGAATGAAGTAAGAGATTTCCATTTAATATTTTGGGCAGTTGTTTTAAGGCTTGTATCATACAGTGTGAGGCATGTGACTTTCAAGTTGTCAAATGAACCAAAAAGTTAACATACTGCTGAACTGTAGGCTTGTAGTTCAATGGTATCTTTCAAAGAGGGGACACTTCTTGACATATGGCAGTCAAAGTTAGGAGAAGGATCCAAAGAAACTTTGTTTTTATCCACTAAAGGCTGAATTTTCTTCACTTTTCCAAAAAGAACCTGGAAAAAAAAAGGCAAAAAGAAGTTAAATAAAAATATACCAAAACACTTTAAACTCTCATACTAGGAAAGTAAAGCTAGCTTCTTTTTTAAGGAAAGAAATTCGAATGGAGAGATAATCCATATCCCAGATGAATGGCATGACTTATTGTAATTATGTCAATTCCCCCTTAAATTAAACTCAAAGACTATAGTGGTTCCAATAAAAATTTCAGAAAATCCATTTGTAGAAATGAGTTTTAGTTTAAAAACTTCCCTGGAAGACTAAACAAGAATAACATATAAAATTTTGGAAACAATTTTTTGAAAAAAATTTGGGTCAGAAATAGAAAATGATGGAACAGGAAAGGTGACATGCACTTCCAGATATTAAATACTTTTTAGAAGAACGGTACTACCACAAAAAAGGAAGAGAGGGGAAAAAAGCTGCACAAAATAAGAAGTCCAGATAAGTCCAAGCATCTATAAAAACATAATATGATATTAAAAGCATCATTTGAAATAAATGAAGCAAAACCAGATTATTCAATAAATGGTGTGGACTTGAAAAAGATTAAATTCCTCTCAACCTATAAACCAAAATAAATACTAAACAAGGTAAACATTTAAGTAATATAAACACTGTAGAAAGAAATACAAGCAAATATCTAACCTCCAAGTGAGGATTCTTTTCTAAGCATATTGCCAAAAAACCATGAACTAAAAACAAATTTCACTGTAAAATATTCCAAAACTTCTGTACATCGAAAACAAATGAGTATAAAAATTTTAAAAACCATGAACTAATTAAGTGATAAAAAGTGGGGAAAAAGTGAAATTAATATGAAAACCACAAATTTTATTTAAGTCAGCAATTCTATTACTTTTATTTTTTACTATGCTAATAATTCATTCAAAATTGAAAACAATACTAAATGTAATGTGGTACCCTGTACTTGGAAAAACTGGCAAAAGCTGAATAGTCTGTATTAAATAGTACTGTACCAATGTTAGTTTCTTTTCATTTTATTTTATTATTATTTTTTAAATTGAGATATAATTGACATACACACTGTTAGTTTCAGTTTCTTAGTTTTAACAGAGGTGCTATAGCTATATGAAATGTTAACATTAGGGGAAGCTGGCTAAATTGTATACAGGACCTTTCTGTACTACCTTCATAATTTTTCTGTAAATTTCAACTTATTACAAAATAAAATGTTTATTATACACAGAAAAGCCTAGCTCTCAACATTCACTTTAATGAATTGATAACACTTATGAATCAACTAGAAACAAAGAAAGGAAAAACCAAGAAAGTAGCAAAGGATATTAATAGGTAGTTCACTAAATACTGTCAATGAATATATGCAGAATGTTAAGCTCAGCAATAACTATGAAAAAGAATAAAAAACAACCAACAATGAGAAACTATCACATATTAACACTGGCAAATATCTTTTAAAAAATATAATACACAGAGTTAGTGATGATGTGAGATAACAGACATCCCCCACAGGCTGTGGAAAGGAAAGTCAATTAGTACAACCTTTCTCAGGACAACTGGGCATTTCATATTGAAAGCTGTGAAAGTGTACACATACCTCTGACTCCTAATTTGACACATAGGAATTAATCAATTAATTCTTAGCAAATAATCACAGGTGTGTGTAAAATGTACCTACATGAATAATCAAAGTAGTATTTAAAAGTACAAAAATAAGAAAACCAAGTAATTTATATTCCAACATTAAAAAATGTGTTGCACAAATTTATGGTGGAGTTGTACAGTGGAATACTATGTAGTCGTTCAAAAGGATATTACAGAAGAATATTTATTTAATGACATGGAAAATGTTGATTTTATAATCAATGAAAAAAGCAAGTTACATAATATATAAAGAATGTATTTTGGGGCTTCCCTGGTGGCGCAGTGGTTGAGAGTCCACTGGCCGATGCAGGGGACACAGGTTCGTGCCCCGGTCTGGGAAGATCCCATGTGCCGCGGAGCGGCTGGGCCCATGAGCCATGGCCGCTGAGCCTGCACATCCGGAGCCTGTGCTCCGCAATGGGAAGAGGCCACAATAGTGAGAGGCCCGCGGACTGCCAAAAAAAAAAAAAAAAAAAAAAAAAATGTATTTTAATGATCATTATACAATGCATATCCATATATATGAGCAGAAGACTAAGTATTAGGTATACAAAAAAATTGTGTCATTATTAATGGGCTTTTTGGAGCTTCTTAGTATGTTCCAAATTTTCTAAAATCAGTATGTATTATTTTTTAATATAAAAATAAAAATAAAGCTTTATGAATTTGATAATACCTAAGGTCTAAAAATAATTAAATTATACCAAATGAACCATTGGTTTTATGTGAACGTACACACATCCTAAGTTACACAACTGAGGATCCTGCCTACTTACTGTGATTTTAGTAGTCCTGGCAAAGTTGCAATTAACAAAAAAGTATATCTTAACCAGTTTGTCTGTTGATGCTTACAATTCGACTGTAAGATTTTTTTTTTCCAATTTTGAGTAATTTTAGACTTTAAGAAAAGTTGCAAAACAGTTCAGAGATCCCATATACCTCTACCCTGTTTTTCCTAATGTTAACATCTTATATAAGCATGGCAAAATTATCAAAACAAAGAAATTAATATTGTACAACACTATTAAGTAAAATAATCAGTAAGAGTGTAGCAACTCTAACTTAAGTCAGAATTATTAATACCAATGTTTTGAGGAAAGACACTTAGAACACTCTGGTATTAATTATAGTCTGAACAAAAGAGAGAAAGATAAGAAGGTCAATTAGGAGAGAAAAAATATACATATTAGGAAAACTAATATGATAAAGGCTGCCTTTGTTTCCTTGAAGACTTTTATGCTGCACACCCACTGGAGTCAAAAATAGGGGAGGGCTTCCCTGGTGGCGTAGTGGTTGAGAGTCCGCCTGCCGATGCAGGGGACATGGGTTCATGCCCCGGTCCAGAAGATCCCACATGCCGCGGAGCGGCTGGGCCCGTGAGCCATGGCCGCTGAGCCTGCGCGTCCAGAGCCTGTGCTCTGCAGCGGGAGAGGCCACAGCAGTGAGAGGCCCGCGTACCGAAAAAAAAGAAAAAAAAAAGGGGGGGGGGAATTTCAAATGATGATGATAGTAATAAATAATTAATATTTATTTTATATACAATGCAACTTTAAAACATTAATAATTCATATTGAAAGTAAAACACACAAAAAAAGAAAGTAAAATACATTTAGGTCAATTTAAAGCAAACTGAATATAATATTTAGTATTTGTTTTGTGCTACCAACCTTAAAAATTATAATACTTTCTACAGTAATGCTTCTACTGTGAGCAAAATTTAAGGCCACATCAACATGTCTAAATATATAAATTCCAAGAAGAGGGTTGCCTAGTATCTTCAATGTAGATGTTCTGGTACTTATTCCATTCTGATATATCTCAGCCACATCACTCTGAGGAAGTGCTAAAAAGCAGAAATGTTCTTCAAGTTCTCTGCCGTGTCTTCCACTCCCACGCATCTCTGACCTAAAGCAAACAGCGTGTAATTAAATGAGAACATCAACAGAATTTTCAAGGAGAAGATGAATACTTGAGCTAGCTTGCTACAGTTATGGTAACTATCCTATGGTAACAAGTTAGGCTGAAAAATCATCTAAGGAAAGAATTCAGGAAATAGTTCAGTAACTACTTGTGTAGGCCAATGGAAATAAGGGCTAACATTTCCTGAATGCTAATGTCCCCAGCACTGTTAAGACTTAACCGTTACATGCATTTTGTCATTTTGTTCTCAAATCCCCAAGAATTGAATTACTGTTATTATTATTACTTATTGTCATTGTTACACACATTTTTCAAATGAGAAATATGAGGTTCAGAGGGTTAAAACTTGCCAAAATAGTAAAGTGACAGAGTAGGAAATATATATGCCAATTCTTGTCCATTAAGTTCTGGAGCTAAAGTTCTTATTTGTGTTACAGAGGGAAGGACATGCGTTTCTTAAATATACACAGAGAGGGACACATACACAATACACTTATACATGGTCAATTATTAGGGCCATTCTCTATTCTCCAGGGATCTAGGTCACAGCTGGGAGAAGCAAGCTAGAATTTGATTACAGGTTCCTATCTTGGCACTATGAAAATTATAAATCATTCTCAGAAAAGGTTATAATCTAAAGTACAGACACTGTTGAACTCTTACAGTGTTCATTCCACGAGAATCACTGAAACATATAAAACACCTATCCTTCTCCGGCAATTGGTGCGCCAGGGAAGGGAGTTCTACATGGCCTGCTCAGGAGCAGCTGCAGCGGCAGCAACTGCCACAGCAGGTGATAACGACAGAGAGGTTCAATCACTGTGACACAAGTGTGATTCCAAAAGATTATCAGCAATGGAGAAGCTACAGAATCGAGAAAGTAATGTGCATACCACAAAAGGAAAACTGCTCTTGAAAACCACATGCTACCTATGTTTGTTATTTCCTGGAACACCACTCAAAGAATTTGTATAAGTATACTATGCACATTAGTGTATTAATATTTATTTGCAAAAATAATTCACCTTTACAGTAGACAGGCCCATGGCAACAAAACACATGGCAACAATAACAAACAAGACTAACCGATGAGATCATGACCATTTCTCTCAGTTCTGGAAATGTCAGCCTTAACTTTCAACTCCACCGTCATCATTTCCTGCTCTTGTTTTTAGCTTGACGTTAGATGCTGTAAACCACTAAGATCTCTATGTTGATTGTTAAGGTTTAATTCTCACAGAAAAATTACAATACTTTTTTCTGTTTTCCTAATTTCTCATGTGGTTTTTCTTGGGATCTGGAAGAACTCCCACAACAAAAGCACAAAGCATGAGAGGGAGGGAGGAAATCAAAATATATTGTTGTAAGGTTCTTACAGCACACATGAATCACATTATGTGAAGGTGTGTTGTGATAAAGATGTATACAGGCATACCTTGTTTTATTGTACTTCACTGCATTGGGCTTCACAGATATTGCATTTTTTATGAACTGAAGGTTTGTGGCAACCTTGCGTCAAGTAAGTCTATTGGCACCATTTTTCCAACAGCATTTGTTCACTTTGTGTCCCTGTGTCACATCTGGGTAATTCTCTCAGTATTTCAAACTTCTTCATTATTATTATATTTGTTATGGTGATCTGTGATCTGTGATATTTGATGTTACTGCTATGATTCACTGAAGGCTCAGATGATGGTTAGTATTTTTTTAGCAATAATGCATTTTTAAATTAAGGTGTGTACATTGTTTTTTTAAATCTATTGCACACTTACACTATAATGTAAACATAACTTTATATGCACTGGGAAGCCAAAAAAATTGTGTGAATCTCTTTATTGTGGTCTGGAACTGAACCTGTGACACCTCCGAGGTATGCCTATAAAGTAAACCCTAGAGCAGTGGTGCCGTTGACATTCTGGACCAAATAATTCTTTGTATTACCTAGTCATCTTATTGGCTGAACATTATATCCTGTTAATGGACTGAGTAGAATGAAAAAAATACAACTTAATAAAGATCCGATCCAAGGCTCCAAAAACCTTTATAAATTCAAGTAGAAAATATTCCCTGGAGGTTTGTGTTAGTGACAATACTGTTAAAAACTTTGTACTTTTCAATGTATATTCAGAATTACACTTGAAAAAAATTTAGGACTAAATATGATTTACATAATCAAAATTACCAATTAAAAATTAGCCTTTAGAACTATTTCTAGGTCTAAAAAGGTTTGTAAAGGGTTGACTTTCAAAGTTATTCAGACACTACGATCTATGTTAACTTATTAAATGACAGTGGCTCTGAGTTTCAACACTTCCATTTCAGAGACGATAGGTAAAATGAATCCAAATACTCTTTTGTCTCTTTTTTTTTTTGGCCATGCCACTGTGCGTGCCTTACAGGATCTTAGTTCCCCGACCAGGGACTGAACCTGCACCCTCGGCAGTGAAAGCATAAAGTCCTAACCACTGGACTGCCAGGGAATTCCCGTACACAGAATATTTTCAATAAATATACAGTTGGCTCTCTGTATCGGTTGGTTCTGCATCCATGGATTCAACCAACGATGGACTGCAAACTTAACTTACAATCCATGATTGGCTAAATCTGAGGATGCAGAACTCGTGGATATGGAGAACCAACTATGGGACCTGAGCATCCGCAGATTTTCGTATTTGGGGCAGGTCCTGTAACCAATCTCCCATGGGTACCAAGGGACAACTGTAAATGTAAAAGACTTAGATAAAACTCATATTGATGAGAAGTTATATAAGTTAGCAAAGCACAATGAATGAGTGGCAGAGCTGTGCACTTACACCTGTCACCAACCTAAATTCCTATGTGTGCACCATGGCAAGACCCTGCTGATAACCAAGGCCCTACAGCAGCATGTAGGCCCACATCCAGCCCTGTCTTCTGTCACTGGCCTGTACCACTAGGCTCACCTGCAGCTAGCCCTTCCACAGTGATGGATACCCCTGGCCCCCATCAGGCCTCCACAGCTACATGTCCATGGCAAGATCCAGCAGTCATAGTAATGCACACCAACAGCCAGGACCACACCAAAGCTGTCAGTGCACCTGCCATTGGCACTTGCCTTGATATCTGCCCTGGCCCCCATTGCTACATGTGTGTTTATCTGATTTCTTTCTAATCATAGAATTCTAAGTATTTAATCACATTTTGAGATAATCGTTTAGTTACAGTAAATGCTTTTTGCTTCCATTTTCCTTTCTTTATTTTATACACTGTAAGTTATCTTATTGTTCCCAAGAGAGTATAACTTTAAAATGAGTTAACATGTTACATTACATTTTCCTTTCTAACATGAAATTTAATTATATTGCATTTAATTCATGTAAGTGTTCATCTAACAAGTGGATTCTTAAATATTTGAGTTACTAAGAAACAGAACTTCTTTTTCTCTTTTCCTTTCCTTCTGCTCCTCTTCTTCCTTATTCCTCTTTTTTCTCAAATAAATTCCTCAGCATCGTCTTCTGCTCACAGATTCACAAAGCTGAGTCCACTAGAGCTGGAAGAGGCTGTAACGATCCTCCTGTCCATGAGTTCCTGACCTGGGGTTCACTTACACAGGAAAAGTCCCAGGTTGGCTATTATGGGGAGCCCAAAAACCTTAAAATTCTGTGCAAAGCTCTGTGTTGATGTGCACTTCCCTGGGAAGAGGGGCTATAGCTTCATCAAATTCTCAGAGGGCTCCCTGACCACAGAGGTTAAATAAGTATCACTGATGAGAAAAACAATGGCCAAGATGTCAAAATAGCTCATCCAGAATCACATAACTATGTAGTGGCAGAACCAGGAGTAGAAATTTGGTCTCTGGCTTCTAGTACAAGGCTTTTTCTGCTACACTAAGAAAGCAGGCCTAGCTTCAATTTTTATGGGGTTGTTGATATACAGTTTATGTCTTCTTTTTTTAAAATTTTTTTTTAAAGAATTTTTATCGGAAACCACCTAAATGTCCATCAATAGAGAAATGGATAAAGAAGATGTGGTACAGATACACAGGGAATATCACTCAGCTGTAAAAAGGAACGAAACTGGGTCATTTGTAGAGACGTGGATGGACCTAGAGATTGTCATACAGAGTGAAGGAAGTCAGAAAGAGAAAAACAAGTATTGTATATTTGTGGAATATACGATAATGCATATATGTGGAATCTGAAAATATTGGTATAGACGACCTTATTTACAAAGCAGAAATAGAGACACAGATGTAGCGAACAAACATATGGATACCAAGGGGGAAAGGAGGGGTGGGATGAATTGGGAGATTGAGATTGACATATATACACTACTGACACTATGCATAAAATAGATAACTAATGAGGACCTACTGTATAGCACAGGGAACTCTACTCAATGCTCTGTGGTGACCTAAATGAGAAGGAAATCCAAAAAAGAGGGGATATATGTACATATATAGCTGATTCACTTTGCTGTACAGGAGAAACTAACACAATACTGTAAAGCAACCATACATGTGTGTTTATAACCAGCCCTGTTACAACTCAGGCACCTGCAACTGGCACGCACAGCTGAGTGTGTACATACAAACCAGCTTGGGCCACTACTGCTGCTTACTCTGGTTCTCTCCCTGGTTTATGGACCTGGAGGTGCTGCTGAGAACCCCAACAGCCATTGTAACCTCTGCAGACCCCTGGCAGTGCTTGCCAAAGACCACACAAATTGTCGATGTTGTGGATCCCAATGGCCTGATCTACTGAGTTACACCACAATCCCCAAATCATGCAGCCACCACATGCCCCTCCACTTGGCACCTGCAGCACTAACCCAGGGTCACAGCACTCTCCGGCATGTCCCCACCCCAGGTGAAAGTCTTTTCTTAGCAAAGTCAGTCCATAAAGTCTCTTCTTTAAATGTGCAGACACCTATGCAAGGCTAAAGGACCATGAAGAATCAGGGAAACGTGACTCCACCAAAGAAATACAGTAAACCTCCAGTAAATGGCCCCCCAAAAATGGAGATACAGGATTTGCTACATACAGTTATGTAGGTCATAAGTCTGACATGGGTCTCATGGGGCTAAAATCAAGGTGTCATCTAGACTGCGTTTCTTTCTTAGGCTCTAGGGGAGGATCTCTTTCCTTGTTGGCAGAATTCAATCACCTGCAGTTGGAGGACTGAGATCCCACTTCCTTGCTGGCTGTTAGCCAAAAGCGATCCCCAAATTCCAGACAATACCTGCGTTCATAACACCTCTCCTGCATCTTAAAAGCCAGCAAAGGCAAGCTGAATCCCTCTCATACTTTTCTTTCTTCCTTCAGTCTCTCACTCTTCTGTCTTCCTCTTAAGTTTTTAAGAATAAGAGCTCATATCATTAAATTGGGCCCACCCAGATTACCCAAAATAATCACCCAAACTCAAGGTCTGTGACCTCAATCACATTTGCAAAGTCCTTTTTGTTAGGTTAAAGGCTGTGGGGATCAGAGTGTGGGCATCTTTGGGGGAGCATTATGCTGGCTACCACAGGAAGAATCTGAACTTATTTAGCCCCTCAACAATATCAGGAACTCAAGTTTCTTTTCCTTGACTCTCTACACTGCTGTCCATAGCTTTATCTTTATCTCTGCCTGGCTCCTCTTGTGGTCATAAGAGAGCTGCCAGCAGCAACTAGGCCTACCTGCTCCCTTGCCCACAGTACACCAATAGAGGCACTGACTTCACCTTCCCAGGATTTCCAAGAAAGCCTCATACTGCGTTATACTGAACCATATCGACTATGCTTGTACATCAGTAAACCAACAAAGGCAAGGGGAATGGGACAAAGAAGAGTTTAGACTAATTACATGAGACAATCTAGAACTATTAGGGAGGCTGCAGTCTACTCATTTGATTCTCCTTTAGTCACACCCTTCTTCCAACACTTACACTTTCAAAAATGCTCATGCTCACACTGAGCAGGTCAATCCACCTCACAAAAAGGGAACAATCCAGTCTCATCGAGTTAACTGCATCTAACTTCAGATCAATGATGTAATACGCCTTCCCTTAAAGTGGGTCTGGAGGCAGACTCATATAGTCAACATCCATTTAGGCAGCATATGGTTACAAGGTTAAGTTACCTACACGAAAAATAAATTGGTGAAGAAAACATAGGGTAACCACAATTAAATTTAGAGAAGTGAAGAATGACACAATGGTCAGTGTTAACTGGCCCTTAGAACAAAGTATATCCTTCTAGAAAGAAATAGCTAGGATTCTTGGCCCTCAAAATTCCAAAGGCTAGGAACCATAGCAAGATCTTGTTTAGACAATGGCTGTTATTAGGAATTTCAGTCTCCTGGCAACAAGCCTCTGAGACCCTCCCATTTCCCAAGGCCCTGAATTTAGAATGATCATTACCCACTGCACTACAATTTGAAACTATCCATTTCTTTCCGCAGACTGCATTTAAAATATACCTTTATTGCATTAAGTTGAGTAGTTCCATTTACCAGGTAGAAAATGCTTAAAAGGAGGTATCTGGGAAAGGTTGAAGGCAACAGATTTGTGCTTCATACTTACTTCAGATTTGCCTCATACTTATCTCTTGTTAAATCTCCTTTCTTTCAAACCCATATTCACACTAACTTTGGAAAAGATGAATTCTTTACTTCAAGCTAATCTTGCAAAGCTGATCTGTGAAACTAGGCCATAAGTACAAAGGAATTTTTTTTTTTTTTTTTTTACCAAATCTGAATTTTAAAGGCCTCTTGGATCTAAGCAGGAAATGGGCAGAGCACTTCAATATCCTGAATTTTTTTTGTACAAGTTCCCCCCAAACCACAGCCTCATAAAATATATGGTCTGTGCCCCACGTATCATCAACTTCCTATTTAGGAACAGTGAGACATCCTTATTGCCCTCTTTCCAAGTTAAATCCATATCTTAGAATCTTCCACTAGCAAGTGGAAGTACCAAGTTCAACACTAGTACCAAGTTCAATACCAGTTTAAATGCTATCGACTTCAAGTATGGAAAACCATTCAAACTGGCTTAAAATTGAGTTAACTTCTTTTTTTAAAAAAATAAATTTATTTATTTATTTACTTATTTTTGGCCGTGTTGGGTCTTCGTTGCTGCGTGCGGGCTTTCTCTAGTTGCGGAGAGCGGGGGCTACTCTTCGTTGCAGTGAGGGCTTCTCATTGCGGTGGCTCCTCTTGTGGAGCACAGGCTCTAGGCTCACGGGCTTCAGCAGCTGTGGCACGCAGGCTCAGTAGCTGTGGCACACGGGCTTAGTTGCTCCGTGGCATGTGGGATCTTCCCAGACCAGGGTTCGAACCCATGTCCCCTGCATTGGCAGGCAGATTCTTAACCACTGCACCACCAGGGAAGTCCCGAGTTAACTTCTTACAACAAGAAATTCAGAAATCAGGCAGCCTTTATCAGTTGACCTATTCCACAGCTCCAGGTGTTTTCAAGGATTCAGGTTTTTTCCATCTCTCTGTTTTGCTGTCATCACCTCGAGGGTCATCCAACTGGTGTCGTCATTATTCCAAGGGTGCTGCTATCAACAGGTTGAGCAACATGCTTCCTTGTTCATATCAGATTGGCTTCTCTTTTCCAGAGACTCCCCCCCGCCCACAAGCCAATCTGTCCTCAGTGTGTCACTGGCCCAAACTGATTTAGTTCTGCACCCTCTCCCCAAACCAATCATTGATAAAAGTAGATGAAATTAAGCATGGATGGCTCAGTCCACTCATCTGGGGTAGAATGTAAACTGAGATGCCAAGTACAAATTTAATCACAGTGTCAAGATAGGTACTGACAATTTTTTAAATGATACCCTTTCACATAAATTTGAAATGTTTAAAGGTAAGTTATCTTAAAACAAAACAAAAAAGGGTCAAACTGATACAAATAGCACAATATACTTAAGAAGAAGTAAATTCAGTTCTCTTTTACCCATTAAGACCAGCTCAAGTTCTTAACTCTTCAGAACATCTCTCAAGACTCTTACGAAGAATACTCAATCCCTCATCTATGCACCTACCTCTTACTATAACGTTATTTTATATTTAGCTGTATGTCTTCTCCACTGGAATGTAAACTCTTTAAGGCTGAGGAGAAAACATTCATTTTTCTCTGAGGGTATCAAAG